CCTGTCGGTCATGGACACAGTCAGTCCTCCATCAAACATCAGTGAGAACATTGTTCCATGGTGTATGACAAAGACAACAAAGACATCTGATCTGAGAAGCTTCCACTGAGGTTTCAGGACTTGTGTCTGAAGACTGCATGTTTTTTTAAACCTTCTCTTAGACTCGGTGTATCTGAGCTCCCTGGAATTTCCCCCCAAAACCTACTGTAAACCTTTACAATAATAAGAAGAAAAGTAATTGAAATAACATTGATGAGGAACGTGGTTCAAAAAATGGTTTAATGTGTGAACAGAGAAAATAAGAAGTGATTCAGTGGAACAGTCAGCAACAGACTGTACTGTACCGTAACGTTGTAGTGGGATTAAAAAATAACATTTTATTAACTGCAACACTTTTCAAACTAAGTTCTAAGTTTCTGTACTTCTATTGAGTGTGTTTTGAGTAATCCATGGTCAAAGTTACTCCAGAAACATCTCCTTCATCAAAACATGTTGTGTTTAAATGAATACTTATATAAACAGAGTATTTTTCCTAATTTGTAAATGGTTTACTTCATGTAACAGTAAGAAGTACTTTTACTGTGTACATTAACACATCTAAAGTTAAAAAACAAGATGGAAAACTGTTCCATTTATTCAAAGCGTAGAATAATTGAAGTATACAAAAAGAATATTTACAAAATGTTGAAATAAAAGCTAAAGTATGGAGATAGTGAGTCTGAAAAAAAAGGTTTAATATATTTGAAAATCACCCTGTGTGTACATTTCAGACTTGAAGTGATTTTGCATCTTAAGGATTTATTTTAACCAGGATTACTCTTGAAGGACACGGCACCAACAGGTTAATAAAATATTTGTTTTAATCCCACATCAAATTTAGACAAAAGGATGAACAGTCAACATATAATTTGGATTGACATTAAAGAATTTGACGATTAAATTCAAATCATTCTTAGAGGAGTAAAACCCATGGCAGTTACACACCAGACCAAACTTTGAATCCCCGACTGACTAACATGAAGACCGAGGGTCAGTTTTCTCTACAGTGTGGTTTAAAATGTCCCTTTTAGATAAAAAAAAAAGAAGGAAAAAAAAAACCAAATGGAGTTTCCGCACTGACACCTGCTTGTCCACGTGGCTCCACCATTGACTATAAGCTAAAGCTACATGGTTGTTGACATAAGTGTACATAGAAAAAATGAGACATAGCTGAGAAAAAAACAAATTATTTATTTTTGTTGCTTTGTTCCGTCATGATTAACTCATATATATATACATATATATTGTACAGTCTAGATAAAGAAGATGATGAACCTAACGGGTTGAGAAAAAAATAGACTTATTTTGGCTAATGATTTCACAGTCTGAGGATTTTAAAAAAATGTGTTTAAATATATGCTGAACATTACTTTGTACATGTGTATGTTTCTCATTCATCTGATCTGATGACATTTCATTTAGACTTCCTTCCTTATCGACACATGGAAACATTTTATGGAGCTGTGACTTTAATGCCAGAATTCTGTGATCAATGCCGTCTTCTCACGTCAAAAAAAATTAAAGATTAGATTTAGGAGCTCGCTGAGGAATTTAAAAATGTGATCAGAATGTTGTTTTTTTTTCTGAGAAAAAAGTCAGCTTGGACAAAAGTTTGAGATAAATTCATAAATTAAAAAAGTCAGAGTTCGCCTTAAACATTTAAAAAAATATGTGTTGACGTTTTAGCTGTAAGCTTGAAAATTCAAGGTTATTTTGAGAAAGAAAATCAACGCTGCAAATCTGAATTCTGGTTTTAAAGTGAAACAAGGCCAAAGTAAAAAACAAAATCTATTAAGAAGAGTTCTAAACAAAAAAAAAATGTTTCTGTCTAAAGTTTAGACTTCCAGTGAGATTGTGACTCATATCAGAGGGTTCGCTCTGTGGAGTTGTGAGATCCAAACCTCAAAAGTATTCCATGTGGCCTGAATCCTAATGAATGATGTAGAAGAGAGTCTGAATTGCATGGACAAGATTGTGAGCGTTTTCTCCCTTTTCTTTTTTTTTTTTACATCCAACAGCAGCAATGTGCTCGTAGACATGTTAGATGGTAGATTTAAAGTTTTGAAGAAAAAAAAATTATAAGAAAATAAAGTTTTAGGCAAAAGGTGAGAAAGTTAAAAAAAAAAAAGCTCCTTTAATGCAATATAAAAACCATCAGTATGCACAAGTTAGGATTATGTTCTGCCAAAGATTCAAACACCTCACAGATGTTCCAACTCTGGATGCATGTTGTTTATTTTTATACATAAATATATTTAAATGCACCTCACTTTTCTATTTTTTGCTTTTCACTTTGCAACGACTCAGAACTGCATAATAAAAAGACAAAGTTTTTTTCATTATAAAAGTGAAGTCACGGAATGGTGATTCCTTATAAAATGGAAGACTGTGGAAAATTCTAAGTCAAATTCCCACTGCATTTTTATCATTAGGAGTGAATGGTGTTCATCTCAGGTCTAGGTGTGAGGAAAACAGATAAATGACTACTGAAAATTTCAACAGAGTTTCAGAGACAAATATTAGTCAAATATATGATGTCACATAAAGGTTAACATTGGGCTATAATATAGCAATTATGCTCAATTTTATATAAAAAAATTAATCTGCTTCATGTAAAGGAGTAAATTTCAGAGATATCTTAAAATTACAAGGAGGTTTCATGACTATAAATTGTTCCAGTGCATTTATAGGTTCACATTTTACTCACTGGTTCTGAAATATAAATCAGTGGATCATCTACACATTGGATTAGATTAGAATTAGCCTGATGTGCACTAAGCAAATCCTATAGAAACTAGGGGCGAACAATGGCTATAATTAGCTCAGGATGACATTGGACATACCAATTCTTAGTCCATTTCAAAACTAGAACAACCAAGCAACCCTTTCAGCCACTCTCCTCCTAGTGACATCCACACTCAGAGAGTTAGCATCATGTTCAGAGAAAAACAGTTTCTTATTTTCCTTCTAATCCACATGGAGCTGACCTACATCTGGACCAGTTCTGTGGCTTCACTTTTGCAATGAGATGGTAACATCCTGTTCTTTACAGAGTATTTCCATAGCTGCTCAGCTTTAACAACGACTACAACCTGTTTTGGTAGAAATCTGGTCTTAAAACTAAGAATAACAGACTAAGATTCACAAAAAATGACTTGGACGTTCCTCCAAATGATGCTAAAGCTATGCAGCTGCTGCTCTCCTCCTGTTCAAACTCCAATGATTTATTTATTCTTATTTATTCTTTTAATTTTTTATTGTTATTTTAAACACCATTTCATTGTCTGATTATCACATTTTTTGCAGTTTGGATGGTCAGTGTAACTGAACGCAGACACATGGTGGATCGTGGACTGAAAGCAAACAGGTTCAGCCTCAGTTCACGTTGACTCGCTCCGAAATGGATGAATATTGTGGAAAAATTCAAACACTGCACCTGTTTGTTTTGAATCCCAGCTCCATGGTGTCACTTCTCTGACCCCTGTGTACAGACGGGATTTGTGTGAATGTACTGGAGGGTCTGAGATGAAGTTTTATTTGTGCTTTTCATTTTCATTATATTGTCATGGCTTTACTGTTCCTGAGGAGAAAAAAAAAACAACATTAAAGCAATACAAGTCAGTTACATTGGAGAGGTCAGTCTGTTCTTTTCACTGCAGTTTAAGAAATTAGCTCAATAAAATCTTTTAATTTTGAGTTTTGTTTCTCTCGTACTGCTCGGAAGTTTTGGGTTTGATCATAGAGGGCAGCTGGAGAATCAATGGTTGGCTGGTATTATGGGGGAGTCTTAAAAAAGGTGTAAGAACAGAACTGGTAAGTAAGTAAAAAATGCAACAAAAATTCAAATACACCTGCAACCTCCAACACTAACATCATTTTCCTCCATTGTCTTTCTTAAGTCCTTGTGTCATTTTTGAAGTAGTACTCACTGCAGTAATTCTACAGTAACACTCACTGTTGTCTCTAAAGGATTTGTAACCAGCAGCTGGAGAAACAACGACCGCCTTAAAGGCGTTCATCTTACTCTCCCACATTAGCAGCACATCCATCTGAGAGATGTGACGCTGCAGCGCTCCATCTGCCGACTGTTTCCACTCGTCCAGTGTCATCTTCGTACACATGCACTGCATTT